CTGAATTTCTTTCTTTGGCTCTACAAGGGAAACAGAAAAAAAAATTTACCCAATAGACAAGAACCTGAAAAAATCAAAGATACATATAGTAACTAGTACTAGTAAAAGTAAACTTTCTTCACTAAACAACTATCATGTCCATTTTCTTGATCATAACTTGCATCAAAATCTCATTCCATGTATCAATAGGCCCTGGCAAACACCAATGAACACAATCGTTCTGGACGCGTTCTTGAATCCCATTAGCAAATGGAAAAGGATGCATATAAGGTCCAGGATGACCATCAGGTCTCAAATACGCCAACTTAGTCACATCCACGGCCTCAAACCTCACATACTTTTCACGACCTTCCTTTTTGGCAATATTCACTTGCTTAATAGACGTTTCCCTCATCTCCGCGTCCATCCATTCAAGTTTCTCCTTCTCCTTAGCATCATATGGCTTTGTCTTAGAACATGCCCCATACTTGTCCCATTCACCTTCAAAATGTGCTGGTGAAAATGTTGTCACAATCACATCAAGTGTGTTTTTGCCACTACCCCTCCTATCAATAATTGTCTTAAAGGTTGTCTCAAATGCCTTACCATAAACGTCATAAAATCCAACCTCAGTGTAATTCAAACCAGGACAAGAATGACAACCTAGTACTTTGTCACCATAAATATAAACTGCTGAATGCAAATACCAATGACCAATTGAAAACACAACCAAATCCATTTGTCCTAAATCATTAGCCCATTTGTCATCAACAGAGTCCAAGTACAAAGTATTATAATATGTCTTGTCTGATTTTTCAACCCCTTTAACTAGAAAAGGTGACCAATATATTGATATATTCACATTATGTGAAGGAAAATGCCATTTCCTAAACTTATTTTCCTCACCATGACTAAAAACTAAGTCATGAGGACTAAAAGTTGACAACATACAAAGTAATGATTCCAATTGATTTCTAGCTAGTGAATCACCAACAAATGCTAGATTCTTGTTTTTGAAGAGTTGAAGAAATTTTTTTGGATCAAATCTTGGGAGTTGACAATTATTTGGTTTCCATCTCCAATAAAGATAGTCATTATCAAGTCTACCATGTGTTATACAATTTTGACCCTCTTTGATAGTGTTACATTTTGTGTATAAAGGGCCTAATTTGTCTTGAATCCAATTGCCATTGCTATAGTCACATGAAATTTCTACACTAGCATTTCCTATTTCTGCACAAAAAGGATAAGGTTTTGATGTAAAACATTGTAAATAAAAGTTCATATATATATATATATATATATATATATATATATATATATATATATAGTGGTGAAACTAGAAATCGTACCAGAAGAGATTCGAAAAAATAATAGGAATGTCAAACCTAAGATTTAGACTTGTAAACTAGAGCAATTTTGAACTCCCTTTATGTCAAGAGGATTAACTAAAGTTCATATATATATAAACAGAAAATATTTTTACATTATTTATGCGGTATAATTTTCCGATGATAATTGAACATTTTCTTACTCCTTTTAGCTCTAACATGACGTATACAATAATAAGTATACCTCAATCAGAAATAAGTTGATCGACTATGAATCTTCATCGATCATGTTACTTGATTTGAACTTATCTCAAACTGATATTATAATATACAAATAAAAGTATTAATAGTTCCCTATATTTTTTACACGTATAAATTTTTTGAAAGGGTAAACGACTCCTAGAAAGCTTAGGATCTCAAATTCACCCTCTATATTTTTCACACGTATAAATCTCTAAAAGTGTAAATGACTCATGCAAAGCATATGATCTATCGTAAAAATGCTAACACGATTATATTAAAACGTGTTTTTAACTAATAGATATCGCATGTATAAATCCGAAAAACATATATAAGTACAAAAATACCCTTACCTTTTGATGGAGTTGAAGATGAGACTAGTGATTGTTTAGATTGAGGAAAAGGAAAGGCAAGTAAGTGATAAAAAGTTATTATAGGAAGAAGAGCATACAAAGCCCAAAGCAATAACTTCCTCAATGGAATTGAATGAGGTTGGTCTTTTAATGGATTTATTGTATCCATTTCTCATTCCAAACCTTTTTTTTTCCCTTACCTCAAAGAACTTTTACATAATAAAGGATTTTTTTTTAGTAGTTTTCTCCATTTTTTTTGTTAATATTTTTTATAATTATTTTGTCAAAGGTGGTGATAGGTGGTAGTAGTTGTAAAAGGGAGAATTTTGTGGGAGGATTAAGTCAAAGTAATGCATAGGATCCCATTTTATTTGGTTGGCCAACCAATCTTTTGTTTCATTACACACTTCATTTTTCATTTGAGGTGGGCTAATATTTATTTATTTTTAATTTTTATATTAATTTTTTATGTAATTGTAATTAGTATGATTTGTATAATAATCAAACTTTTGTTTCTATTCCTTGTTTTATGCATGTTTTGTAATGTTTTCCTCTATTGTTTATTTGTATATAGTCAAGCTTTCATATGCTTAATTTAAGCTAATATAGTTTTTAAAACAATCTTTTATTACTATGAGAAATATGATAATATCTACGTTACTCTATATATATAGTTTACCTTTTTCAAATTTTTACGTACTTTAAAATTAGATTGAATATATAATTGTTATTGTTATTATTATGTACTAGTGAAAGCTTTAAAGGAATATGGTTAAAGGGATTAGACGAACGCACTTTTATTAGCATAAATAGAAATATTAAGATTGATCTTAGAAAAATAAATATTTAAATATCTAGAACTTATTACTGACCTAATTAATTTAAATTTTTATGACATAAGATTATTTACTCACTCTCTTATCACGACTCTAATTTAATTAAAAGATAAACCACTTTAAATCATAATCATATCATATTATTACTTTGCACCTTTTCTATAAATAATAATGATTACTTTCCTCCTAAAGTTTTTTTTTTAATTGTTGGTATAATTATGAATTATCCATTATTGTCTTCCTTACATTTGTCATACAACAAGAAATTTATTTCATAGCCTCACATAATTATTAGTAATAATGTAATATCAACAAGAAATTTTGCTTAAAACTTGTCTTAAAACTCAACAAAAGAAAGCTAAAATTAAGCAAAAGCCAGTATTCCTCCCACAAATCTTTATTTAGTTTTGTGAATTTCATAATATTCCAACTAATCTTCTTTTTTCCCCCAAAAAAAGTTTCTACCATACTATTAATAATTAATTTATCGAGACGTTAAATCTGGAGAAACTAAATAATCTTGGCAAATTTAGATGAAGAAATCATTACACACGGATCAAATCATAAACAAGATTTTATTGAATTTACCCGTGAGTTCTCTCCTTCGATTTCGATCCGTTTGTAAATCATGGCGTTCTTTAATCAACGAACCAGCTTTCATCGACGCACATTTGAAGAAAATGGAATTCGTTAGCAACCATTTGCGTCTTTTCCAAATTGTGTACCAATTATACCCTAACGAGGGGCTTCGATCGTGGTGTTACGCGGGCGGCCCGTGTGACGAGCTAATTCACCCGGGCTTCCCCGTAACATACACGAAACAATGTACCTTTGAACTATTGGGTTCGTGTAACGGATTAATTTGTTATATCACTAAGTTTTTACACGGTAAAGAAGAAATCAATTTATGGAATCCGTCAATGAGGAAAAACAGGGTGTTGCCCCATTCGAAATTCTCCCCGGAGCGTCAAAGGCACGCTCCGAATTACGGGTTCGGTTTCGATGGTCGCGGCGATCACAGAATGATAAAAATTACTTACATCGACGATAGATTAAAAAACGAGAAGAAACAATGGTCAGAAGTTGAGTTGTATAGTTTAAATCACGATTCCTGGAAAAAAATTGGGGATTGTTTTCCTTCCCAGTATTATTACGTTCGTGGGGACACGGTTTTCTTCAACGGTTGCATCCACTGGCTTACGCAGCGCGAATACGGAAAAATCAGACCGAGGAGATTGCCGATCGTTTCGTTCGACGTGGCGAACGAGGTGTTTCAGGAATATTGGCTCCCGAACCCTACTGAGCGGGAAGCGAACTGTATAAGCTTGTTGAATGGATCGTTATCGGTTTGTGCAAAATCGACTTCTGTTGTTGATAACAGTGTATTGAATATCGAGGTATGGTTGATGAAAGAGTATGGGGTCGAAGAATCGTGGACGAAGTTATACGTGACAAGGATGGATGAAGAGTTGTCAGGGCCAATAATACCGTTGAGAGTGTTGGATCATGATGGTGAGGCGATTGTGTATATAAATAAAAATGTGTTTTTATATGATCATGAAAATGAAGAATTTGAAGATTTTGGGATTTGGGCTAATGGAATTGGAGTTCCATATGTGACAAATTATATGGAGAGTTTGGTTTGGGTTGAACCAATAATAGTTGAATCAACTACTCCAATTGGACAAAATGTGGCTACAATTGAAAATGTTGAAATTGAATCAAATACAAAGCTAGTGAATTCAACTAGCAAAAAGGATACTAAACAAGATGGTAATTGTATAATCCTATGATATAATTTTCTTATGATGATGTCTTTTTTTTTTTAGGATTAATCTTGTTGTAATTGTATAGAGAAATTTAATAGTGAAACATAATTTACTTATCTATTTAAGTGATTTTCGTTCTTTCTTATTGGTATTTAAATTTTCTATGTAGTTGAAAAGGTTATTTCGATAAAAATTTATCTGCGCTAGATGTTTACATGAGGTGAAGATACACATTGTTGATGACTATATTTTAAGGCTTCAGCCAAAAAAATAATATTGACACATATAGGAGTAAGGTATATAAATGAAATTGAATAATGAAAACTTAGAATAAAGTATGTAGTAATTTCAAGTCTTTGTTGTAGGACTTACTTGGAAAGGGGTGACCAAAGAATAAAATGTTATATATATATATATATATATATATATATATATATATATATATATATATGAAAACTTCCTTAATAATTGTAGATATTAAAGATTTTGAACTAAGAAAATCAAATGGGTTGTGATAAAATTTTAAACTTGAATACATATAATTAAATTTTTGAATTTAAATCATGATGGTTTTACATTATATTATTAAAAACAAGCAATCACCAGAACCAAAAAAACCGTTTAGGTGGTTTATCTTTAATCCTTTGTTCTCTCCGTCGTCGCGCCTCGTTAGAGCTATAAAAATAACAATAACAACAACAACGAAGTAAGTAAAAGAAAAAGATATAATGGATATAAATGTTAGAAACAAAATGCAAGTGCAAAGTCATCCTAACATATTTTAAAGGAATTATAATGGACCACAATTTAGTTCTTCTAAAATCTAAACTTCTACCGAGTAAACTTTAATCATTGATATTTGATATTTATTTTGATTTTTCGTTGCATAGGGTCCACTAAAGAATTGTAACGACTTTCCTACTTGAAATTTTTTTTCTTTGAATCTGTTTGGGCTATGATTTCAATTATGATTTTTGTAAATCAAGATGATTTAAAATTAATATAAATATCAAAAGTTGTTTTTTTTCCTCGTAATCATGAAAATCTTATAATTTGAAAAAAGTGAAAACTATCAAAACTTTACAAACTCTTATGATTTTAATTAGCAAATGATCAAATTATAATTCATAAATAGAGTATTAAAAATTTCATCAGATTAACAAATCACATACTTTTATGTCCCTTTTATTATAAAAATAATTACACTTAAATGTCCTTACAAAACTTTCAAATATTATCTCATCCTAAATAGAGTGACTTAATAGTTACGTTGCGCCATCGAAGTAAAGTTAAAAAGGACATGGATGCAAGATCAGAAAATTGAAATGTAATTTTATAAAGATCTAAAAGTCTAATAATTCAATAATAATAATAACGAATTATTTTTTAATATAGATTTTTCACATGATACGAACATTATCTATATGTCAAGCAAAAATATATGTATTTTTAAAATAAATAAATAATTTACGAGTTTATATGATTATTATAACTTATAAGTTTTAGATGGATTGTACCTTATTATATCAAGTCTCCTCATCTCTTCATTATAGAACCTGTCATTAACACAAATTGCACCAACAAAATAAGATTTGACTGGACCTTTTTGGTGTTTTTATATTTTATATTAATTAAAAAAAATCACAGGTTTTGTAAAAATATAATAGAGTTTGTATTAAAAATATTTATTAATAGTAATAAACTTAGAGGACTAAAATTTCTTTTATAGAGCAATTTTGAACCTATACTCCCTAACATAAGGTCACTTTTATCATTATTTTACCAATAAAACAAATAATAATTACATAAAGCTCAAATTAACATATAATAACAATAATTAAATAATAATAATAATAATATATTCAAAATAATTTTTTAAGTGAAATCTGAGCAGTCTGAACAGGGTTATGTGTACGTTGTCTTACTTCAGTATTGAGAAGGTAGATAGATATTTTCGATAAATCATCTGCTCAAAGTATAAAAGTATATATCAAGTAAATACAGAAGTAAAAAATAAATAATCCATAGTCTAATATAAGACAATAAAATCAAAAAATATGATATGAGGAAATTAATAAAAGAAAATTAGTAAAAAAAATTTAAATCTAAATTATATCCTCAACAAACTACAAATATAATGAGTAAAATTCACGATCGACGAAGAAAAATAAGAGAAAAAAAAGAAATGTACCAGCGTCCAGTTCTGTATGCAAAATATCCGGCTGTAGTATACACCGGAGCCATAATAACTGTCATAACATTCGATTGAAAAAAATAAAATTTTTACATAAAAATTTAAACTATAAAGAAGTAAATGTTTAAATATTTTTTAAAAAATACATATATCAACATATAATAATATTTATACATCAAAAAAATTATTAATAGATCAAAACTTACGAGTTCTTATTATATTTTTGATGATATTGTTCCCAAAATCATCCATCTTCAGAGAGAAAAATAAAATAAAACTAAGGAGAAAGTGGAAGAGAGTTTAGTGTTATAATGGAGTAATATTATTTATATTACAAAGTAAGAAAAGATTCCTTGGTATAATATAATATAGTAATAGCAGGTTTGACTGTTTTATTTGTAATTAGAGGTCTTTAATAGCATGATGAGACTGTTTTATTCGTAATAAGAGGTTTTGGGTTTAAGTTTTGAATATGTAGAAAAATTTATTGAGAGTATCAACCTTAAATGAGCTTCGTAGTGTGCGATTCCAGAAATCAAAAAGAAAAAGCAGTCAGCCAGAGTCAAGTAAAATTAAGGGTTTATCTTAAAAAAATCAGAGGAAATTATGATATTTAAATGGTTAAAATTTATTTTTATGCGTATATAATAAATATGAACACTCTTTTGAATTTATTTAATGCAAAATTCTAACTACGCTATTAGGTACTTGTATAATAAATTAACACCCCACGCATTCCACTAATTTAAATTAGAAGATTAAAATTTGAAAATTATGAATTTTCTCGCATTATGATTTAAATTATCATTATAATACTGAGTGATTTTTTTAAAAATATATATAAGATTTAAACGAAAATTATTAAATTTATGTGAACTTGTATATATTTACATGCTATATCTACCTCTATATTGTGGATAGAACTAGTGATTTGATTACAAATTCAACCAAATACTAGATCTATCTCTGTTAGTGCTTCAATTACGAATTCTATCAAATTCAATAGTTTTAGTTTAGCCAAATTATTTATTTGTATTATATATTATTTCAATTTGTTTATTTTTTAATGTTTTTTAAAATTTAACTTCACTTAACATGTTTATTAATAAAATAAATTTAAATATTTAATATTGACATAATTTAATTTAAAATATTCTTTTATTTTTTAATATTTTGTGGAATAATCAAATTTAAACATGGGGAATATAATATATGTAAAGGTAATGGGAAAACAAGAAAGTTCAGATCAAATACTTTACAATTATTAATTAGTCTTTTTATATTGCCACATGCAAACCCATGTGAAGCACATCATTCTATACTATGTTGAATGTGTATTTTACTCTTATAAAATATAAATAATTTAACATTAAATCCTATCAATTATTCAGAATCATAAGATTATATAATTCTTACATAAATAATATTTTTGAACAAGAAAAACTTATTCGAATTCATGATAATTTTTTTGATTTTTTATATATGGAAATATCTTTTTTGACGTTCTTAAAAAATATCTCTCCTCATTTATGAAATAATTTTTATGAAAAATTCGTTCATATTTATCTGGAGTTTTCACATTTATCGGTTATTAGAATTTAGAAACAATTATCTATATGTTTTATTAGCATATAAAAGATAAGAGGGAGTGAAAAAGAATTTAGATTAATTATTTAATGAATACACACAACTATTATATATTATCACAAAACCTCAACAAAAAAATCATACAAACTTAGGAAAGTATATTTATATTAAAAATTTCTTAAATTGATATTTAAGTAAACAATCTTTAGGAATTAACTTTCTTTTATCTTTATAAAATAAAAATAAAATATAAATACATTCTAAACTATTATTTTATTATTATTATTATTATTACTACAATATATTAAATTTAAAACTTAATTATTAATCCTTATAATTGTCTTTTAAAATTGAAAACAAAAAGACAAAAGGACAAGTTTCTTCCACAATTAAATTTTTGTTTATTTGATTATATATCAATTGTTTGCGTATGAATTGAAGACATATAAGTCAATACCTAGTGGGTCTTCTATTTTATTTTATTTTATTTGTTGTTCCATGTGATTTTTTTATTTTTATATTAAAATTCGATTTAGTTTAGATATATATTAGAAATGATAAAAAGTTCTTAATGAAGATAATTTTATACTCAAAATTCAGATTTGATATATTTAATTAAAAGAATATTTATTATTCTATTACAGTTTTCAGATCACATCAATTATAATAATTGTTTCAATTCAAAATGAATTGTATGACCAAAATACCGAATATAGATAAATTGCAAAAAAAAAAAGTTTCAATATTAATATTTAAATTTTAATCAAACTTTTAACGAATCATGACGGATTATCACGATAATTGTGTAGAAATACATAAATACATGTTCTTTAAAAAAGTATATGTTAATCAACCTCAAATGACTCGAAATTCAACATATTCACTTCAAATTCTATTATAACGTTATTCTTGAATGCTTGTCTTGTCACATATTCGATATACTATTTAATATTTCATATTTTTGTATTTTGATATTTAGTATGATATTTTAATTTAAGTTTATGATAATTTATTAAATCAAATATCGATATCAAATATTGCAGGTAGTGTCATTTTTATGCCATCGCTTGATGAATCTCATAGGAAATATTGCGACGATGAGAAATTAATTTAGAATTTATAATTTTCTTAATTTATTTCGTAAATAAAGTTTCAATTCAGTTTGGTAAATTTAATTTACTCATTTTTTTCTTCAGATTTTGATATTTATTATACATCATCATATATTTCTTTACTCTTAACTCACGGTCCCTAATAAATTAAAAGTTTCAAAAGATTTTTTTCCCTAATATTTTGTCCTTTCTTTTTGTTATTACAATTCTCTATACAAATTGAACCAAACCAAGTTATCATCAAATCGAATAAGCTAAAATCAAAAAGAAAAAAATCGAATCATATTAAAAACTCTTGATTTAGCAGATGAATAATGACTTTGATATGCAAATACCTTAGTATAATATAATTTTAAAGTAATTATTACATTATCAAAAATATATATTTCATATGATATAAATATGAACTTAGAGATAAACAAGAAATTTTAAATATTTAAAAGTTTGATTATTTGAAAGAGATTATCATATTCAAACATTGATAACTGATAAAATACTTGAACATATATTCTTGAATTATATGTCCTAATCTTAATAAGCGATAATATTTTATATATATATTTTAATTGATACCAATGTATATATAATATGATTAACCTTTTTATATTACTGATATTTATGAATATATACCTATTTTTAATATATCGAAAATGTTCAATAAAAGACATTGATAAGTCAACATCACCACAAACTTTGCTTTGAAGTCTCACTTTTTAAGCTTCAACACCAAATACAATTCTTAATTACTCCTTCCGTCAACTTTTATTTGTTATATTATGTTTTTCAAAAGTCAATTATATTAATTTTTCAAGTTAAATTAGATCATATTAATTTAATTAAAAAAATTTAAATATTTGAAAACTATATGAAAAATACTATAGATTGTAATTTTTTTCATATCAATATGATTTAAAAAATATATTGTAAAATATAAGTCAAAATTTTTATAGATAAACTCTAAAAATAGTGATCGTGACAATTAAAAATGGACGGAAGGAGTAACATTCTTTTAATTATAATGTAAAGAAATATTCAAACTCATCACTAATACGACATCGTACCGTTCGTTTTACTTCTATATTTACAATTAATTATTGCCTTCATCCCCTCCATTAAGCTTAATAATTAAATATATTTGCAATTAATTATTGCCTTCATCCCCTCCATTAAGCTAAATAATTAAATATTTAACTCCTTTTTATTGGAATGTCTTTTTCCTCACTTTTTCTTCACATGGGACATAATTATTTTATGAAAGATGACAAGAAAGTGATAATCATTTACCTCTATCAAATTTTACATCAAATTAAATAATAGTATGATTTTGAATAATTAAAATTTAAAAGTATAAACTTATGTCATTTAATCACAATTAATTAATATATGAATATATGTTATATTTATTAGTTTAATATATGATAAAAACATATTTACTATAAACGAGTTTTTTTTTTAAAGTGAATTTTAAAATTTATTTTCTAGCATTTTTAAAATTTAGCAATCTATATATTCTCAAATTCTTTTAGGTAATTTAGATAAATATTATCTTATGTTAGAATATCACTCGTAAAACTTGATTTCCTTCGACCAAAAAGACGTTTTTCTTAGCTTTTTTTGAAGTTTTTTGTTAAAAAATGTTGATTATCTAAATATAAAAATATGGATAATTTCAGAAACCTCCTTTCAGGTTTCGCTCTATAACACACTTTTCATGTGGTTTATGATATTACGTCTATGTCCCTTATTTTTATTTTCTTGTAACCATCCTTTAAGCCTATTTAACATAAATATAAATTAATTTAGATTTGACAATTTTACCCTTATATATGAAAGTTAAGATCTAATTTTCAACGATTTCTCTCTATTTGTTGGATCATGTTTCTTCTTCACCGTGGAAATGTTTAACTAGAACAAAATCTAACCATTCTTATCGAACTTCACTCTTGGGGAGTTCAATTTTGTCTTCTATTTGAAAAAATTGTTGCAGGAAAATGATGGATCATTGAGGGGGGGGGGGGGGGGGAATCTACGTGAATTGGTAAAGGTGAGTTAATATTTGGTGAAAATATGAGTCGACTTTAATAAAGACTTTGATTTTTGTTGGATAAAAAAATATATATTTGTGCTAATTTATTTTTAAAGTATTTGTTGAATGATCTATTTTTTATATAATATTTATTAATATGAAGAAAAAGGGGTAAATTTGTCAAATCTAAATTAATGTATATATATATTAAATATATTTAAAAAATAGTTACAAATAAAAATAAAATAAGAGATAGACGTAATATCATATACCACAAAAAAAGTGAATGTTATAAAATGAAACATAAAAAAAAATTATAATATATATTTGCTATATAAAATTGCGTTATATTTTATCTAATTTAAATAATAACCAAAATAAATATTATATTTAAATTAACAATACGATAATTATCATCAAACATGTTAGGCTAAATAAAGGTAGTTTGAAAATTATGTAATTAAAATATCTCACTAACCAATAAGGAAGTTATCCACATTAAAAAAAAAAATTATATCCAAAAAAACCCCACCGGCGATGGGTGCAACCACCGTGAACGGCGGCGATTCAGAATCGACATCACTGT